CAATACCTAACCACTTCAACTACTCTGAATAAATAACTCCAGGGCTGCCTGCTGTTACAACCCCTGAGCTTTCCCCTAAAGATTCCTTCTAGTAGTGCATGTATACTACCAGTCTGTTACAGAATCCCACAAGAACAGGCTGTTGAACACCTCTTCCTGAGTGAATGACAAAACTCAGTGCAGAAATGAGAGTCCTCCGATACATTTGGGTGAATGAGCTCTGGCAACCTGCTCCAAATAAACTCTGTACCACCAAATCAGTTGTCCTTAAGGCAGTGAAAAGGAGTTGGGGTGTATACAAAGGAGCAAAAGGAACACAAGGCACTGCCAGGCAGCCCTCAGTCTGCATTAACCAAGCACTTGGGCAAAGAAAAAATTACTAAATTAAGGTCTAGAGAATCTGGCTTTCTAAGGTGCTTGAGTAAGTGATTCTGGGCAAGTAAATGTTTGAGAATCTTCAACAGGGAGCTGATCTGACCTGCCCAAATTCACACAGAAAGACAGTGACAGAAGTGAAAGGTACACAGTCTACAAGAAAGGACTGCACTAGAAAGAGACAGTGAAGCATGCTATTCCCACCTGAAGCAGGGGACAATGTTACTGCCTGGGTGCAGTGCTGGGCCAATACGCAAGCACTGATGCAATGATATTACATCTCTTTTGGGTTGCTGTGCATAGAGCAAGTGCAGGGCATCTCATTGCCATACTCCCTAGTTTAGACATGCCTAAAGACTCTCCAACAGCCATTACTTCCAGGTCCTTATTCTAATTCCTAGACTACATTCTATCCTTCTATTCCAAGGGCTCATCTCTTCACCATTCCCCCAGACTCCTCCTCATGGTGGATAAAAAAATACTTCACTTTCCTCTTAAGTACTTTTCTTTTCTTGGAACTATAGTTGTTGGTGTGTGTTTTGTAAATAGCCATATAGTTAGACAAACCACTTATTTCCTTGTGCAAAATATTTTTCCAGGGGAGTCCCACCATGAGATCCTGTGAGGTGGTATGCAGTGAAGAACTCATGTCAGTATTCTGTTTTTTCCAGGAAAAATATGATCTTCTTTTATATCTAGGGACAAGGTGATATTCTTTAAAGATGAATAGAGAGCAATTCTGTCATGTTTCCCAGCACCTGCTTTTCTTCAGTAAGTATTCTAGACAAACAAAAAAATAGCAATAGCCAGTTGTTCCCAGGCCTGTTTTCTCTTTTTCCATTGTGGGTTTTCATTGTGTTCACCTTTACTTCAAAGGGGTGAAACACAGAATCTTACCATCCTCTAAGGTCAATACATGGAGATGCTTTACACTTTTCTCCAAATAAGATTTTTATCTAGACTCTCACTGTAACTTGTCAGCTTCCATCCAACTTCCACTTAATCAGAGATAAAAAGAGCTAGAAAGGCCCTCAGCAGACTATCTAATCCAACTCTGTGCTCATCCATCCCAGACAGATGTTTAATGAACCTGCCTTAAAACTCTCCAGTGACAGAGATATCACAATCTCTCTAGGTAATCTGTTCCACTGCTTAAGTTCTTTCATACTGAAAAAGTTCTTCCTAGTATCTAACCTCATACTGTCTTATTTAAATTTAAAATCCTTGCTTCTCATCCTGTTAGTTGACACGGGACAATTGAGAGACATCCTCAAACTCATAACCCTGTTTGCCAGCTGTGTACACTTTCCCCAGGCTCCAAGGGTGACAAGTGGTGACCGTGACAGAGCCCTAGCACCTGCTAGTCTGCCTGTGATCCAGAAAAAGTTGCCTACCTCTGCTTGCCAGAATCAGGCTCCAATACATTTAGGATAAATCCTGACCACATGTCAAACTTTTTTTCACTATGCTTGTACCTAAAACAAACCACTCTTAACACCATGCCTGTTTTTATGATGTGGATATCTGGAAGAGGCTGCACAGAATTTACCCTGATAAATGGAAAAGCACAAAACTTGTACTTCTGTCCACTTGATATCTGCAGCCACCTGTGCTGATGGCTGGCAAAATCTCAGTGCAAGCTGATCTCCTTTGGTATTCATTTGAGTCTCAAGGCAAAATCTCGTTTGGTATTCATTTGAGTCTGCAATTAGGTAGGCAGACATCTGCTTTAAACAATTCCAGCTACCAGTTTTATCTACATTTCACAACTTTATACATTGTAAGGCCACCAGGATCTTCTAGTCTGGCTCTCTGCATATCCAATGTTATGAATGCCATGCACTGATTTCTGCACCTAATCTGAGAACAGCTGAATAAATTGTCTTGTCCTTGTACTTTATCTTTACAAAGTACAGCTGGAGCTACTTGAAGATCACAGATTATTTTATGTGAAGAAATTTTAAGTAAAACTGATTTAATTTCCTTAGTGGCAGGGAGAGAGTCATTGATAGCTTCTACATGAAAACTGACTCTTTTTGCCATACTTAATTAACAGGCATATGCTATTAAAGGCCAACATTTTTGGATTCCTTGTATATGCCATTATTAGCAGCTTTGGTTGCCTGTTTCTCTGTATGCCTCGACTACTCATGTCAAGTATGAGGTACAGGAAGTACGTGTATGCAAAATCCTACTGTGATTGCTTCCAGTCCCCAATTAAGAATATATTGGTAGCAAAAATCCTAATAAAAAGGAGTCACTTCACATGCAATTCTGCATGTGGAAACCTTAACTGTTTCCAAAGCAAATATGATAGCATATAACCAAGTCCATTTGAAGCCAACTCAAATGATATAAAGCTGTTTACATACTTTGAGGAAACATTTTGTTATCTTTTATGATGTTCTCTTATCTGTAATTTATACACCTCTCTCCCAGTGTACCTAGATCATCTCTGAAGAATCAGGAGAGCATCTTCACAGAGAGGGAAGTGGTATTTCTTCCCTAGGTTTAATCAAGAGCCTTCAGAAATGTCTATGTCCAGAAAAAATCTTTGGATGGTTTTGTTCCCTCTGCACTACAGCCTTTTTACCTGAGTTTTAAGAGTGCCTTGGTGTGAAGAGGCCCGTGCTGCCTGTGGTCACTTAGCCAGGGGTGACCAGAAATCTGTGCTGAGCCTCATCCCTATGGCAAGAAGCCCAGCACACCACGGGCTCAGCTGGGGACCAATGACCACATTCAGCACTGTACCTAGACTCCTGGCAGCCTCGGGGTGAACTTTTAGTATCAGGCTCCCCTTCACCAGAGATACTGATAATGATAATAATAAATCATTGTTTTCACCATTTTCAGGCCCCCTTTCTGTCCAGGCTGCAGGTGGCCCCCCGGTTTGCCCATGCCTGTGTCCGGCCCAGCCCACACTCCTCTATGCCGTGTCAGGCTGAGGGTGGTCGTATTTACAGTTGTGTGGGCCGGTTGGAGAGGGCAGGGGGCCGGACTCGGTGACCTCCGGGGGTGTCTTCCAGCCCTGCTTCTCTAGGACTCGAGCGGTGTAAAAGCAGCCCCGCTCAGCCGGGACCTGTTTGTGTGGCAGCTCCGGGAATCCCCGCGTCAGGT